CTTTTTATGTAGATCAGTAAGTTGAGACAGCAGCTGCTGCCAACAAGCCCCCTCTGTCCTGAACCCTGTAGTGTCCTCCCCCTGCTCTATAGAGATGGGGTAACCAGGGGGTAGGAGCAGGGGGGAGGGGGACACCCTGACATTAGCCCCCTGCGCGCGCGCTCTCTCACACAGACACACACACACACAGCAAGCAGGAGGCTCCTGGGAGCAGCTCCAAGGCAAAGGGCAGGAGCAGCACATGGCAGGGGGGAGGGACAGCTGAACTGCTGGCAATTACTGGGTGGCCGCAGGAACCAGATCTACAGGGGGGCTGCAAGTCCACCCTGGTTCCAAGCCCCCACCAGCTAGCCACAACAAACTGCTCTTTCTGCAAGCAGTGGACTAAACAGGCAGCTGCCAAACAAAGTTATAAGGGAGCATTGCGAAACTTTAAACAAGCATGTTCTCTAATCAGCAAGGTAACATTAACTGGGACTTCAAGTGAGGAGTTACTTTACTATGAATAATGAGGCTATCTATTCAGAGAAAAAGAGATCGGATAAGAACTGCCTGGCTCTAAAACCTCCTACAATGGATGAAAAGCATAATTCAGTTATCTATTGAAGGGTGTAATCAAAATGAAAACAAACTGACTTAAGGATTTTTGTTAGACTAAAGCTAAACCACATAAAATATTCATGATGAAAACAGTTCTTTAGACATGTCATGGCACAAGATGTCGTCTAAATTTATGTGTTTGAATGTTCATCTACTTAGCTTAGCTGGCTGAATTTGATGTAGACTTGTTTCTTTTAAAATGTTTGTGCATAGACTTAGTAACTCACCAAAATGAGACTAATACTATTATCTGCCGCTTAAACATTATAGCAGCACCACCTGACTGTAGTACACCTCAGTCTTGACTCACCACACCCCTCCTCATATAGGCTCTGGGCTCTTACAAAGCTCTCCCAATATGCCTGTCCTCACCTGAAATGCCCACTGCTATTCCAAAGACTGTCAATTGTGTTAAATATTATGGTTTGTGTTTAGCAATATGAACTCTCCAGGGAGTAGGATGAGACCAATCCTTACTTAGGGCAGGTTTAACTAGCAATGTTGAAGTGCTGCCATGGCTCTCCAAGCACTCTTAAAAAAAAGAAAAATAAAAACAACCCACCTCCCCAAGGGGAAAGCTATAGGCTCTGGGAGCGCGGCTCCCAGCGCTGGTGCACTGTCTACACTGGCACTTTACAGCGCTGAAACTTGCAACGCTGTAAAGTGCCAGTGTAGACAAGTCCTTAGTAGTGAATGTAAAAACAACTGTCTGATAAGCCGATGCTTTCTTTAAAAGATTTGTCCTTCTACAGATCGTAAAAGAAGTCCCAGATCTCCCATTTCTAGGTTTATGCAACAGTTAATAGAAGTTGGAAACTAACAAGTCTCTGTTGTTAGGTACATATAACGGAGCCCATTTTTTTTTTTTCAGATGACTGAAACACCTGCCACTTGTTTCTTTGCCATTTTCTAATCTCTCGCTGCAAGCCAATATGTATGTCATAAACATAAAGGGAAGGGTAACCACCTTTCTGTATACAGCGCTATACAGTCCCTCCTGGCCAGAGGCAAAACCCTTTCACCTGTAAAGGGTTAAGGAGCTTAGGTAACCTCGCTGGCACCTGACCAAAATGACCAATGAGAGGACAAGATACTTTCAAATCTGGAGGGGGGGGAAACAAAGGGTTCTATCTGTCTGTGTGATGCTTTTGCTGGGAACAGATCAGGAATGCAGACTCAATCCCTGTTAGTAAGTAATCTAGCTAGAAATGCGTTAGATTTTCTTTTGTTTAATGGCTGGTAAAATAAGCTGTGCTGGAGGGAATGTATATTCCTGCTTTTGTCTTTTTGTAACTTAAGGTTTTGCCTAGAGGGATTCTTTATGTTTTGAATCTGATTACCCTGTAAGGTATTTACCATCCTGATTTTACAGAGGTGATCCTTTTACCTTTTCTTTAATTAAAATTCTTCTTTTAAGAACCTGATTGATTTTTCACTGTTCTTAAGATCCAAGGGTTTGGGTCTGTGTTTACCTGTATCAGTTGGTGAGGATTCTTATCCAGCCTTCCCCAGGAAAGGGGGTGTAGGGCTTGGGGGGGATATTTTGGGGGAAGACGTCTCCAAGTGGGCTCTTTCCCTGGTCTTTGTGTAAGACGCTTGGTGGTGACAGCATAGGGTTCAAGGACAGGGCAAAGTTTGTACCTTGGGGAAGTTTTTAACCTAAACTGGTAAGAATAAGCTTAGGGGGTCTTTCATGCAGTCCCCACATCTGTACCCTGGAGTTCAGAGTGGGGAAGGAACCTTGACAATGTTATAGAATAATAATAATTTTAGAGCAGATTTCCTGATATTTATCTCCATGCTACATTTTTGAAATGTTTTAATGTGTTTTTTATGGAGTTTATGAAAGTGAAAGATTAATTTCAGAGTAACAGTCGTGTTAGTCTTTATTCGCAAAAAGAAAAGGAGTACTTGTGGCACCTTAGAGACTAACCAATTTATTTGAACATAAGCTTTCATGAGCTACAGCTCACTTTATCGGATGCATACTGTGGAAAGTATAGAAGATCTTTTTATACACAGAAAGCATGAAAAAATGGGTGTTTACCACTACAAAAGGTTTTCTCTCCCCCCACCCCACTCTCCTGCTGCTAATAGCTTATCTAAAATGATCACTCTCCTTACAATGTGTATGATAATCAAGTTGGGCCATTTCCAGCACAAATCCAGGGTTTAACAAGAACGTGGGGGGGTGTAGGAAAAAACAAGGGGAAATAGGTTACCTTGCATAATGACTTAGCCACTCCCAGTCTCTATTCAAGCCTAAGTTAATTGTATCCAATTTGCAAATGAATTCCAATTCAACAGTCTCTCGCTGGAGTCTGGTTTTGAAGTTTTTTTTGTTGTAATATCGCAACTTTCATGTCTGTAATCGCGTGACCAGAGAGATTGAAGTGTTCTCCGACTGGTTTATGAATGGTATAATTCTTGACATCTGATTTGTGTCCATTTATTCTTTTACATAGAGACTGTCCAGTTTGACCAATGTACATGGCAGAGGGGCATTGCTGGCACATGATGGCATATATCACATTGGTGGATGTGCAGGTGTGACACCCAAATGGGTGAGAAAACACCCATTTTTTCATGCTTTGTACTTTCCACAGTATGCATCCGATGAAGTGAGCTGTAGCTCACGACAGCTTATGCTCAAATAAATTGGTTAGTCTTTAAGGTGCCACAAGTACTCCTTTTCTTTTTGAGAGATTAATGACACTGACTGCTAGAGCTGAGCATAACTAGGACACATGCTGTGTAAGTTTCCCCTACAGACAGCTTTGCTAATATTACCTCTAACCAGGCCAACAGTACCTATTAGTATTCTAGGTATGGCTTTCTCAAGTTTATGCTGCCACTTATACAATGCTGCATGTGCTGGTTTTGTAAATCATCTACAGCAGTCTAGTTTTAAATCCCTGAACTAACTCCATTTGTGAGCAAAATAAATGAGCTCAGAACTTCAGAGGGGTGAGATCAGTGCACTAACAGAGTGTCACCTAGCTCTGGGGAAAGAGAAATCTTCTAAAAATCCGTACCTGTTTTTCCTTTCCCTCTCTAAAAAGGCTTTTCTCCTCAAGGACCATAAAATGTTAAATAATTCTTAATGTGATTGTGCTAGTGAGTTACCTATAGCAGAGTCGACATACTGGACTCTATGTTCAGTGGCAGGTACTTTAGAGAAATCTGTTTTCGTTTTCTGCAAAGTATTTTATTGCTTTAAGAACCAAGCTCAAGTACTTAAGCTGCTGTTTCTGGGAGCAGTTTGCTGATCAGCATTGGAATTTATGATGAACCATACAGATGCCTTTGAGTTTGGGTGACTTGAGAGGCTTCTACATTTCTGTTTAAAAAGATGCATTGTACTTCATCTCCAGAAATCTTGGCACTCTTTAGTGGAACTGCCCAGATAGTAACAATTTTTAAAACACAACCCCAAAGCTGGTCATCAATGGCATTTAACTTAGCGAATTAAGCCGATGCGGAAATACTGCTGAGACAGCCAGGCTGCCTGTTGTAATGTCCTCTCTAGTCCGATGTGTCTTGGGGAGCCAGATCTACAGTGAAGCTTTTCTTTTGTCTGTTAGCAGTATGTGTAGTCATAGTAGAGCCTATTAGCAAAGCCAACTTACAAATATACTACCTTCTGTTGTGTCTGGATTGCATTTCTCAAACTACTTTATCACAGGATGCATAGGAGCTATGTGAAGTTGTTAGTGATTGAGTAGATGGTGCTCTTTCCTCTGAATAGCTATTGAAGACCTGCATGGTTTTAGGGGGCACTAAAATATTAAGTTTCCATCTTTCAATGAGATGTATGTCCAAAGCCACTCCTTAAAAGTGTCATGGAGATGTAACATTGGTGCCCTGGACAGATCCCTACTCTGGCAATGTAATGGCACTTTTTGAATAGGCAGAATGTAATTTCAACTGGATATGGTTACCCTTGGCATGTTTTTATGAAAAGTAAGTACTAATTATTCTCTTTATAAAGGATTTTGAAGAAGAGATTTTTTTTTTTTGTTAGAGGTCTGCGTTTTATTGAAGGTAATGTGATCCCTGTGGCTCTCAGGAGGTTTCAAGCCACGATTATTTGTAAAGAATTATTTGTTAGATCCTTGTAAGGAAGGTGTTTAGAGAAGTACATTTTAATAATCTGGAGCCTTTTGTGACTACTTTTGAAGAATATAAACTTGCTTGTACTGTTTTTAATTCACAACTGTAAGCTTCATTTAGTGTAGTTTGTTTGCTCATCTAGGTAATGTGTACACTTCTGTGCATAGTGGCTATATGAAATATTGTATTTGCTAATTTAGGTTAGGCACCATAAATTAAGTCCATTACTTGATGTCTATGGTGGTGCCAGTACAAGTTGGTTTAGATTTCTTTTCTTTCATCTACAGCAACTGGAGCAGATCCAGAAAGAGCTGAGTGTTCTGGAAGAGGATATTAAACGAGTGGAGGTGAGGAGCCTAGACATTCGTTGCAACTCTGGCAGTGTTTCATTTCCATCAAACTGTTTGCTTCTCTGTATGATGCTGCATGAAATTTGTGGCCATTGCTTCAATAATGGGAAAATGAACAGATGACGCTCTTTCTTTAATGTATTAATTTACTGAATGCATACAGGCTGCAGCTTGGTGAAAAGGATCCATTCAAACCTACTACTCAACTTTATTTTTTCCCAGTTTCCTTTTTACTTTTTAAGAACTTCAGCATAATAACTTGGCATTAGAAGTCATTGTATTGATGATAAATACTAGATGGTCAATTGTGGTGTTTTACTATAGCAGACTGAGTCATCTAAGAGCCTTGTAACATCCCAAGTTAGATCAATGTGTGTGTGGGGCAGGGAGGGGAGCGGTCCTCCAGTGGGGTGCATTGGGAAAAGCAGAAGTAGAAAACCCTGCTATATAGAAGGTGAACTACAATTCATTTTTCTCATTTCTATATGGTGTTCTTGGATCCTCATAGGGCACTCTAGTCTGGTACAGGTTTGTTTCCCAAGTATTTCTAAACCTTGCACCTTGCTCTATCCCCACTCATTCTCTAGACCACTCCCTGAACTACTTCTTCTCTGTCCTGTCCAGTGCTCAACTCTGGGAGTGGAGAATTGGTGCTTTAAGAGGCTGTGGAGCTAATTCTGCAGCTTCATGAACTGGTGCTGCCCAAAAAGCTACTCGGGCACCAGCTGAGCTCCTGCATCTGTTATCCCTTTTCAGGTTAACGGCCCTCCAACCAGTACCCACAGGCCCCCATATCTAGATTTCTTTATTTATGCTTACTGTATACATGTTCTGTAAAAGAGTTTCACTTACTCTAGGCACTTTGCTCTATTATAAAATACAAATAAAACAAACAATTCCAGGAACTTTCCTTCACCCAATAACTGACTCAAATCAACCCAGCAGATAGAAACATATTTCAGTCTATGAAAAATATTCAGTCTAATCCAAGAGTTCACCCAGTCTTTCTCCACTTAGGAAAAACAAATGTGCATTGCAGTGTTCCTGAAGCTGATAAAGTAGGTCTGTTTCAGATGAAGGGGAGAGCACGTTCCCAAGTAGAGACACCTTCTTGGAAAACATCCTGCCACTTACTTCTCTCTGTTATGAGTGGGGCTTCCACTGATTGGCTGTAGAGCTGTGGCTGTATAACATGGGAAGAGAAATGGTCTTTCAGATAAAGGGATCTCAGGTCATTTAGGGCTTTATACATTAAAACAAACACCTTATATTCTATCCAGTAAAGAATTGGTCACCTGTGTCGCTCCAAAAGTGTTGGTTGTGTGCTCTCAGATCATGTACCCTATAACTAATGAGCTGCAGCATTCTGCACCAGCTTCAGTTTCTAGACCAATTTTAAGATGTAGCCCCATGTAGAGTACATTGCAGTGATCTGATCTGGAGGTGACAATCATGCATGATAGTTGCAAGATCTGTCCACCTCTGAAAGAAACAGGTGCAACATCTTGGCTATATGTAGATTTTTAAAAGGTGTCTTGCGGGGAGGTGACCAGGCCATAGCTTCTACCTAATGTTTCAATAGCAACTGGGAATCTAACCAGACTACTAGATTGTGCATTTTCCCCATCAGTGGCAGGTGATGCTGCTGAAGCCTAATGAGTAACTTAATCTTTTCTGGTTTTGTTCAGCCCCCCATGTATTCTTGCCTTGACCCAAATTCCACATTCCTTTGCAGCTTCAAAAGCTGTTTTAGGACTAAGTTTGTATCTGTCTTAGTAGTGTGATTGCAGAACAAGTGAGCTGCAATGTAATATGAATTTTTTTGGGGGAAATGGTCAGATTCCTGCTTCTGAGGTGGAGGCGGCAGCATATCTCTCAGATAGAACCATTGATCTCTAATATGTAAGATGAAAGCCTCCCTGATCCTTGAGCAAGATGCACTGGCAGCAGGCCCTGAGAAGACCAACTGGAATGGTAGCAGGAAATAGGAATCCATTACTGGGGAAAGAGCAAAGATTCCTATGTATGAATTAAGCAAAATTATATGCCTGTGCTTACCTACTACAAAAATTAATTTATACAAAACCAAAACTATGTATTTGAAAGATGTCCATAGCATGCATGTCTCTTTCGTTTTGTTGTAACTTGGCTCTCTGTTTCAGGAAATGAGTGGCTTGTATTCCCCGGTCAGTGAGGATAGTACGGTGCCTCAATTTGAAGCCCCCTCGCCTTCGAACAGGTACGAAGCTTGCAGCTGCTCAAAATTTGTGCTGCAGATCCCTCATATGGCTCTAGTCCTCAGCCGTGCCATGCACAGAACTCCACTAGTTCTTGGATCATATAAAAATAACATTCACATGGCCCATCTGTTTCTCAGTGGTATTTATTTTCATGCCAATAAATTAGTGAAGAGAATGCTGTGTTGTGAGTTCACAGCTGGATTAAAGATCTTCCTTTTCCAGAATGCTTTGAAAAACTTTCAGCTTTTCAGTACTGTACAGGTAAGTCTGCAGACAATCTGAGTTGCTGGGTGTAAAACGTTAGTGTTAAACGTACGTCTGTGCTTTTAACATCATGTATTTAATTTGTGGTGGTTGGCACATACAATGTCCAAAACAATTTCACATTAAATAAGTGAATGACCTTTGATTTCCTGTTCAATATGAAAGGTTAAATTTGCATATTCTCGTGGTCAGATTTTTAAATTTAACAGACTCATTGGTTCTACCCACCTGCCTGCTCTCGGTGGTTAGATTGAAATGTCATTTCTCTAGTGTATTGTTGATGGGATTTTTTCAGTCTGGGATATTATGTGCCCTGGATTACAAATGAAATTGTGACTAACCTTTTGTGTGTCCAAGTTGCACATGTCAGCAGTTCGGTTTAAGGTGCATTTCACTGTGCATACATTCCTATATTCATTCAACTGGAATAAGTTATGATGCCCCCAAGCTCTCATCTTTCATATTATATGAAGGATATTTTTTTCTTTCTGGAAACACTTGTTTTAGTAGCTCTTTAAACCAGAGGTTACCAGCATGGGGATTGATTGATTGATTGGTATTTATACTTTACTACATGTCTGCTAGCTGGAGAACTAAACCTAATAGCCCACAGGTATATGTAAAAGATGTTAGGAGGTACTACACTGGAGAGTTTCAGGGATAATGGATGGGTGAGGAGCCCTTCCAACAGCTGCTGGTATTTGTACAAGGTTGTTACCCCTGGATCCTGTTTGGGACTCTGATCTTTCGTAATCATGTAATAGATGTCTTAAAGTTTGGGGGAAAAGAGGTGTCTGCAAGTTCCTCTCTTCTGGGGCTTTTTAAACCAGTTCATAACTCCAGTGTATCTCTTCTCTGCTGCGTCTCATTGCTTCTGCAAGCAGTAGCTACATGAAATTGCCATGATTCTTGATAGTTTGTGCCACTCACAGGATTCTTAATATTAACAGTGAAACTGATGAGTCTTTAATTTCATGCTTCTGATGCTTGGGAAAGCTGGGAGTTTCAGGATCAGTAAGTTGATACTGCACTACTTCACACTTTTCACGTTTGGACCATTATCTTTTTTTTTTTTTTTTTTTTTTAAAGTATAAGGGCTAGAAACTCTTCCTTAAAATGGAAGGTTAAGTTCTGCAGAAGTAGATAGTCTAGTTCTGTCACATGAAGCAAGTTAACAAGTGAATTTTTCAAGCACTGTTTTATACCACTTGGGACCTGGAATAATTTTTTTCTAGCCAAAGAAGTGTTTGAAAACAGTTTTAAAAATCTGGTCTGAAACCTGTGTAGGCCAGTCTAGTAAGGGTTTTCTGGAATTCTTTCAGGTCTGTATAGAGTACATGTGCTTGGGCCACTATAGATCTTGGTCCCAAAGCTACTCAAATTATTCACAGCTATGTTGATTAAAACTGCTTTAGTTTAGTCTTTTGATATAGCAAAATATGTATCTTGTAGGCCCATTGGACTTCTTGGTTTTAGAAATGTGACTGTTACACTGCTGTGACCCAACATTCCTTTTGTAACAAGATCCACTTACTGCTGCTCTGTTCTCCAGAACGCATGACTTGAATGAAGCATTATTTAGTCTGGCATTAACTAAACCTCGTACAAGAGACTAGTAGGGACTTACACAAAATGCACATGGGCTTGTTCTGTAGTTTCTCTGCTAAAATGAGAAGTGGCATGTGAAGGTTCTTAAGAGACTTCACTTGCTGGATGACTTCGAGAGCCTGTATCTCTTGACACACAGTGGTCCTGTGTCTGGTTTCATATGACCAAAGACTTGAATTCTTTGGGTTTATTTTCTAGAAACCTCCTACTCTCTGAAATTAATTTGGCTTTCAGCACTGAACATATGTTGTGGTGAATAGTTCAAAAACTGCAACCTAGATCTTTCCTTGGAAAGAATACTACAGAATAATTGATGGGGGGTTTAAAATTTGCTGAATCCTCCAGTTCTGTTAACTGATATACTTCATCCTAAAAACACACTTTTTTAGAGATGCAGTGAACCAGTAAGAATGAAATGTATTTATATTTCATGTATTATAGTTATAACATATAATTTTCCATGTTCAAATACTTTATTAAATTATATGGATATTTTCAACTTGCTGTTAATTAAAATGGTGTTTAAACCACTACATACTTTGTCAGCATACTTTCTGTCCTGCTGTAACTTATCTGATCAACATTTGTTACTAATGCATTTTATAAAATAGCATAAAGTTACCTTAAATATGTGCTGATAGAAAACAGACTTTTCCTTTTGTCTGTCATACTGTTCAATTTATCTTGTTCTGTTTTTTCTTCAGATTTACAGTATTCCGCCTTGAAATTTAGAGCCTTCAGACTTATGCCCTATCTGATTTATCCTTTAATCCACTTTTACTTCTGATTCAGTAGTCCACTCCACCAATACTGTTTTTCATTATTTTTTTCCTGCTTGAACGTCTCTAGACCTTGTTTGAAGACCAGTTCAACTTTTTTCTCCGTTTTCCCCATTTGCCTCTTAGTCGTCATAGCCAAAAAAGTGATAGTTGCTTATGTACTTTCTATTTCCATCTCATTTATATCCACACTCTTGAACTTTAAAATAATCCTGTATTTTTTGTAGGTGAATACTGCTGGAGGAAACCTCACTGTTGTAACTTTGCTGAATTTGTATTCAGCATGTGTAATGAATGCTTAAAAGAAATCAAAACTTTTTTGTGCACTTCTGCAAGATGTGATGAAACATTATGTGGGGTAATGGTACAGTACTTTTTTTTACAGGATTAAGGTTTTTCTAGTTTTGTGTATTAGGGAAATACAAACAATTATGAGTAAGATTAAAAACTAATACTACTCAAAAAGTTTCTCTTCGCCTCCCCTCCCCCCCCCCAATAAAACAAACAAAAAACCCTGGCCACCCTGTCTCTCTTTTGGGTGGTAAATGACATGGGGGGAATACATCTCTAGTTTCTGAGGCAGTAATTGAAAATTTAACCATTCTGTCATGAGCTCCTTGGGAAGAGACCCAATAAAAATTAATTACATGGTAGCCCAAGGTTCACTTTGTTCAAGCAGTATTTTTTGTCCATTGACTCCAGTTTTGTCTCAAAATTTGCTCCTTCTTCCTCCAGTTGCCACCACCCACAGTTGATGTTTGTCCCCTTTTTTGCTCCCAGATTTTATAATGCCTTTTATAATTTATTAATAAATGTAGCTGAATTTCTTAATCACAAAAATATTTAAAAGCCTTTAACAGGACTTTAAATTTAAGATACTTGAATAATTGGAAAAAAAGAAAGATTACAAGAATCTGCAAGTCAACTTCAGCTAAGGCAGGGGTGGCGAACCTGTGTCTCCGGATCCACATGCAGCTCTTCAGAAGTTAATATGCGGCTCCTTGTATAGGCACAGACTCCGGGGCTGGAGCTACAGGCGCCAACTTTCCCGCCCCCTCCCCTGAGCCGGCAGTGCCTTCCCCCCAGAGCCTCCTGCATGCCATGAAACAGCTGATCAGGAGGTGTGGGGAGGGAGCGGGAGGTGCTGTGGGGTTGGGGGGAGAACTGCTAATGTATTATTGTGGATCTTTGGCAATGTACATTGGTAAATTCTGGCTCCTTCTCGGACTCAGGTTGGCCACCCCTGAACTAATGGTATTACACAAAACTGCCTTAGAATTTGTCTGTGGATAGTGGAATTATATCTACACTTGTGGAACCTAGATTACATTGCTTTACCAGCATATCTATAGCAAAAATAAGACTGGACTCTTTAAGTCTGCTGTGCTGCTGTTAATTCCAGCTGTACCTGTCTGTTGTAACAGCTTGTTTTTCAGCTGTGCATCTCTCTCCTGCTGTCACCGGCAGGAACTGGTGTATGCATTTTGTTTGTCTGCCCCCTCACCCTCCCATGATTAAAGTTTATTGTCCCTGATTGTGCTTGAAGCAGCATTATTACTTTTTTTCCTCCACAAAGATCTAATAGAAAATGATTCTTTTCCTAGAACGTGTTTTTGTTTTTGTTTTTGTTTTTTTTTTTGCTTGTAGCTTTTCTGTTTTGGCTGTGCAAGTGTTAAGACATCAGCAGTCGGAGTTCACTTAAAAGTTAACTACAAATGTGTTAAAACTTTAATGTCTTCTTCAAGTCAGATTTGTGTCTATTAGATTTTTTAAAACTAATATTGGAGTGAAGTATTAAAGCCCAATTACAAGTATTTTGGCTTTCTAGATTTATAGCTTGTGGAAATGCTCTTAATGCTATGTCGGTAGTCCCGTAGTACACGGAAATTTCAGTGTCACTGATCAGCGCTGGCACCCATAACCTAAACATAAGAGTTTTGAAAAAATTGATTTTACACAGAAAGACCAATAAAAATATTTCCAGTAACCTTATAAAAACTACCTGTTCCTCCACCCCACCCCCCCATTAAAACATAATCTTCAGTGAGAACAATACTTCTATCTAACATTCATTGTAGGTGAGGAAATTAAAGTGAAACTGAATAATCTGTTTCAAGACAAATGAAATAAAGTAAACAAGACAAGAATACTGGTGAAAGCAAGGCTTTCAAAATTTTTTACAGTAGATATTTGTAACACAGATTGTTGACTAAATAATTTTAACCTGATAGTGTTCTTGTGTGGTAGTCTAAAAATGCTTCAGGGGCAAATAAAGGCTGATTACTAAGTGGTATTGGGGAAGGGATTTGTGTATCATACAGAAATAAAATGTTACAGGCAAGATTTTCAAGCACTGGTGCCTAAAGTTAGGGTTTAAATACTTTAGTTGGCTAAATAATGGGCCTGATTTGCAAAAGTGCTGAGCAGTCTGTAGCTAGCTGCTGGGTCCTCAGGCCATGTAACTGTACCTCACAAAGTTAGGTGCCTCACTTTAGGCAAGCTGTTTTTCAAATCTTGGCTTCAGTCAATGTATGCGGGTGGTCAACATGAACAGGAACTAACCATAAATAACTGTTCTTATAGAGAAGTGGTTTGTTCATTTCCTAGCCTCTGGAAAAAAAATCCAGAAGAGGTGAACTCAGTGTCTTATTTCAAAATTAAAAGTATGCAAAACTGGAAAATAGCATGCCGTAGGAATGTTTCTGATCGGTAATTCTGGATCTAAACATCAACTTAGAGATCTGTTCTTCACAACTCAAGTACCAGGGTTGGTGGTTGGTTGTTTGGTTTTTTTGGGGGGGGGAGAAGAGAGGCAGGTCAGACGCTTCCAGAGATCATCTCTATAATATTAAGGTGACTGGGTCAGTAATTTTCCAAACTAGGTTTTTGACTGTTCCCTTCACATCACTATCTTGGACCCCATGAAATACCAGTAACTCCCTTTAGGAAGGAAGGGGTACCTACACAATTATTTTGTAATAGCAGTATGTAGAAGGTATGCTTACACTACATGCTTTACATACAGAACACATCTGTCCTCAAATTTTGTTTGTAACACTATCACACTTGACTGTACTTGGATAGAAGTGTGTTTAAGAGTAATTTAGAATTTCTTGTAGACCTAAGACATACCCACATTCTTCTCTAAGCCAATCTCTCATTCTGTATGGCTTATGTAAGGCTTATGTTTCATGCCTACAAAATGAATTTAAAACACAATTTTGCTGCTATATGTAATAGGAAAAATACGTAGGTTGAAAATGATAAAGGATGAGTGCATAGTGACTGATTTTAAGCAGGCTCCGTTTCTCTTGGTTTTACAGTAATATTATCGATTCCACGGAGTACAGCCAGCCTCCAGGATTCAGTGGCAGTTCTCAGGTAAGATAATACATATGTCTGGAGGGAGGGACAAAGGACAAAGATTGTTTTCAATCTCCAGGACATTGGCCAAACTGGCTCTTATAAATCTGAATCCTTAAATAGTCACCTCATTATCTGTGGCAGAGGCTAAGCTATAGGAATAATTGCATATTCTCATGCATCAGGTCATATTCAGGTACATGCTCTCTGCAGGGAGAAATGGTATCCTACATTTTAGGTACCTGACTTCATTTCCAAAGTTGATTTTTCTTGTGACTGTATTAGATTGGGAACCTGTTTGAAGCCTCATTTCTCCTTGCTTGAAACCGCACAATATGTAAAAGTTCTCTGTGTAACTTTTAGTGCGCAGCAGCAGGGTCCACATGGCGATATAATGTACAGGTAAAAATGCTTTTGAAACTTAATTTTAGAGCTAGCTACGGATACAAAAATTAGAGTAAATCATTGTAATAATCCTGAGACGGCATTTCTGTAGCATATTTTGTGGTAATATCAGTTGGTAGTTAGTAAATGGATAGAGGAGGTTCTCTTTTTTTTTTCCGAGACATTTTATAGCTGCGTTATTGGTAGCTAGATACCATGGTGATTGGCTCTGTATAAATACCTTTTATCTATATGATTTTAAAGGGAGTATAAAATACAGATGGAGAGTTTATGTTCAAAACTCTAATCTAGCATGTTCTTTATTTGTTGCTGTCCATGGATGCTACTTGTTTTAATACTTTAATTTCGCCTTTGAAATAGAAAAAAACAGCATAATTCTACCACCCCCTCCTTCTACCCCCAATCCAAGCTAGGTTTTCCCATCACTCTGGATAACAGCCTGTTAGTTTGAAAATCATATATACTGAAGTCTGCTCTCTCTAGGGTGGATTGTTACTTAAATTTTAATATATTTTTGGACTGGGAATCTAGAAATAATTAATGTTAAGAAACACTTAGTTAAATTTTCATTTGCACAAGAAATCTCCAGTGAAAATAGTCCATATGAATATAAACTGAGCTGCATTTTTTGTTAATCAGTCATGGTAAAATCAGTTCTTCTTCGAATGATTGCTTATGTGAATTTCACAATAGGTGTGCGTGCTCGCCACGTGCACCAGTGCCAGAAGCTTTTTCCCTAGCAGTACCTGTTGAGGGGCCGGGGGCAGCACCCCAGCAACCCCTGGAGTGGTGCCTGCCTGGCACGGTAAAAGGGGAACTGCGTGCTCCCCCCACCCTCAGTTCCTTCTTGCTGCCAGTGAAGGTGCGTCGGAACTACTCTGCTCCAGCTTTGCTGTAGCTTGTCCCCAGATCTGCTTGTTCATTCAGTGTTAGTACCTGTAGTTAGTTCAGTTAGAGCGAGTGCTCGGGCCAGGCCATTAGGGTCCGGGCTATTCTGATGGAGTCGGCGCTGACCCTGACTCCGGCGAGCCACTTCGAACTGGTACCCTGCACCATGGTACCTCTGGCGACATTGACCAGTCAGCACAATTCCCCGTCCACGGGAACACCCAAGAAGGCTAGAATGGCGCCTTCTTTGCAGCAGCACCGAAGTAAACCCGGGACAGAGGCTAGACCCATGTCGGGCAGTCCTCGATCCCCACTGGCCTCTAGGCCTGCGACTCAAGTTGAGTGGAGTAGCCCAGCCCACGCGGAGCAGGCCTCCCTGGATGTCCGGAGGCCCTCCAGGCAGCCCAGGACGTTATGTCCATGCCGGCTCAACGCTCCAGAGGCAAGCCTCTGCTGGGATCTCTGCAGTCGCACCCAGCTCGGTACCGGTCTCTGTCGAGGGAACATTTCCGATGCTGTTCGCCGCCCAGCAACAGTTCAGGGCAAAGTCCACGTGGATCACCCTCAATTCCCACCAGACTGTCTGGTTGGGTTCCATCCAACCGAGACTCTCGGCACCGCTTCACCTCACGGAGCAAACGCCAACAGGACCGAGGCAGGCGTCACCAAAGTTTCTTGTCTCAGAGGGATTATTACAGCCGGTCACAGCACGGGCATTGACGCCGTTCCCTCTCGGAATCCTGCTTGGAGACCCCGCCAAGGCATCACCTCTGCAGCCCCGGGCATCAATTACTGACATCTCGCTGTCGTGGGTCCACCTGTCTGAGTTAATCGCAGAGCAGCTGTTACTGACGGTACCGGTCCTCCATGTCAGGATCTCGGTCCCGTGGTTGGCATTGCTCCTGGCACTGCCGCTCCTCCTGGGCTGGGGACAATGGGTTGTACGTCAGCCCGGCCTCCATTCGCAGTTGTCCATCGATGAGCCAGGCTGAACAACCGTTTCAGACGATGCCGCAGCACGTGCAGTAGGACCTGGCCCTGTGGCCAGCCCACTGGTACCAGTGGACACTGTGGCCCCCGGTGCAGACCCTTGTGGGGGCTCGCTCGATGGCCGGACCCTCAGAAGCACCATCGGCTTCCCTCTCCAGACCTCCGAGGAAGGAGTCAATGGGACGTACATCCTTGGCACCATGCCTGGAGACCGAGCAGGTGGTGGACCCTCCGGTGCCGGCAGACACCCAGAGTACCGCACCAGCTTCCTCACCCTCCACGGATGAGGTTATTACGGCCCTCCCCCATCTGACTCGCAGGAGGACGTTAGGGCCCACCAAGAACTCTTAAAAAGGGTGGCATCAAGCCTCCACCTCCAGGCAGAGGAGATGGAGGCCTCAGACTCCCTGTTCAGTGTGCTGTCCTCTTCAGCACCGGGCAGGGTAGCCTTGCCTCTCCATGAAGGGGTGGCAAAAATTTCAAATGCCTTGTGGCAAACGCCGGCCTTGTTGGCCCCCATCTCCAAGAGGGCAGAACGCAAGTACTTTGTACCTGCCAAGGGACACAAGTACTTATACACCCACCCAACTCCCTGGTGGTCGAGTCGGTCAACCACAGGGAATGGCAGGGCCAGCCAGCCCCTACCCCGAAAAATAAAGATTCATGGAGGCTGGACTCTTTTGGAAGAAAAATGTATTCGTCCTCGAGCTTTCAGTTATGAGTGGCAAACCACCAGGCTCTCCTGGGCCGGTATGAGTTCAACCTGTGTGGCTCCATGCCCAAGTTCGAGGACTCCCTCCAGGAGCGTGATAGGAAGGAGGTCAAAGCGCTGGTGGAGGAGGGTACAGCGGCTGCCAGGGCAACCCTGCAGGCAGCTTCGGATGTAGTGGAGATGGCCGTGGTGTCCATGACAAGAGCATCATGGCTCCTACTCTCTGGGCTGTCCAGCGAGGTGCAGACCTCCATGCAGGATCTCCCATTTAACAGCAAAGCTCTGTTTGCAGAACAAATGGATACAAGGCTGCATGGCATGAAAGACTCCCGCATGACCCTCCAGACTCTGGGTCTCTACGTTCCGGTTCCAGCTCTGGCTAAATCTAAATTCAAGCCGCAGCAGACTCCTGCTCAGGCCACTCACCCGAAATACGAGGCCGCATATAAGAAGTCGCGGGACTACAAGAGGCACCCTCAGAGGCAGTCTTGGCCTGCTGCACAACCTGGGCCCTCCAAGGGTAGGCAGGCGGGAAAAAGGTGCTTTTGACAGGACGCTCGGGGGTGCCCTGCCAGTTCTCATCGGGGATCCACCCTCAATAAAGCTTCCCTTCTCCAATCAGTTGTGTGCTTCCTCCTGGAGTGATCACGGCTGACCTTGGACCGATGGGTCCTCAACACCATCTCCCTGGGCTACACCCTCCAATTTACTTCCTCTCCGCCCAACTATCCCCTGCCCCTGTCCCTCCTGGGGGACCCCTTGCATTAAGCTCTGCTCAAGCAGGAGGTGGGGCAGCTCCTGGGCCTAGGAGCAGTGGAAGTGGTGCCCAGGGAGTGCAAGGGGTACTACTCCCGCTATTTCCTTATCCCAAAGGTCAGAGGGGGATCGCTTGATCAGGGACTTCTCTCAGCATGAGTGGTCTCTCCACCCAGAGGTGGCTCACAGGCTTTTCTGAGTGTGGGGGGAGTGTGGGTCCAGGTGGACCTGTTCGCCTTGCCAGAACTGGCGCTGTCCCCAGTTCTGCTCCAGGGGCGGGTTGGGATGGGGCGCAATCTCCGATGCCTTCCTCCTGTCCTGGTCAGGCCAGTTTCTCTACGCCTTTCCCCCATTCCCACTGATCAGCAAGGTCCTGGAAATAATAAAGATGGACAAGGCCCAGGTCCTTCTGATTGCCCCAGCATAGTCCAGGCAACATTGGTACGGGACCCTCACGGACCTGGCGGTTGCTCTGCCATGGCCGTTGCTGTTCCGCCCGGACCTGCTCTCCCAAGACCGGGGCCGCCTCCTCGACCCCAGCCTAGCCACTCTCCACCTCATGGCGTGGCTGCTCAGTGGTTAGGTAGGGAGGAAAGGATGTGCTCAGAAGGGGTTCAACGCGTCCTCCTAGAAAGCAGGCGGCCCTCCCCGTGCTGTGCCTACTCGGCAAAATGGTCCCAGTTCTCCAGATGGGCGAATGAGCGGGGTCTTTTCCCTGTGGCTGCCCCGATCCAGCTTATCCTGGACTACCTTCTCCACCTTAAAGCCCAGGGCCTGGCGCCCTCGTCAGTCAAGGTGCACCTGGCGGCCATATCAGACTTCTATCTGCAGGTGCAGGGTCACACGGTATTCTCGCATGCTATGACTGGCTGGTTCCTCAAGGGGTTGGACCATGTCTTCCAGTATGCTAGGCCCCCGATTCCACAGTGGGACCTAAACCTGCTGTTGGTCTGTCTCAACTGACCCTCGTTTGAGCCGCGAGCCACGTGCTCCTGGTCCCATCTCTCGTGGAAGGTGGCCTTCCTGGTCGCAATCAGGGCCCTGACCTCCAAGCCTCCATACGCTGTTTTCCATAAGGACAAGGTTCAGCTCCGCCACACTCTGGGTTCCTCCCGAAGGTGGTCTCTGCCTATCACATGGGTCAGGACATTTTTCTACCTGTTCTCTGCCTCAAGCCCCACGCGTCCAGCGAGGAGCACAGTCTCCACATGCTTGATGTGTGACGGGCTCTGGTTTTCTACCTTGAGCGGACCAAGCCGTTCAGAAA